CAGCTCCTGATGCTGACGGGTATTTGAGATGCTGCCGTGTTTCCGAGTGATGACACTCGGATGTTGAATCGTTCTCAGTTCAAACCCAAAGTATATTGCTTTTACAAAGCTATTAAGTGAAATTTAAACTGATATTTATGTTGCTTTATGTGACACTGCAAATGTCATGGTGCTTTTTCTTGCTGAATCAGCTGAAATAATTTGAACAAATAGCTTGGCTAAGGGCATTACAGGTGAAGACCCTGTCTCATAATGTGTCATGGCATCCGGGCGGCGTTGTTACTTACGCCACCTATCGGCAGTTCTAGACATTACAGTGTACACGCCGCCGGTGTACAGCTGTACAAGGTATATTGTTGAGAATTGGCCACTCCCTGGAGACAGAGATGGAGACGTGAGTCTCCGTCAAGACACTTATCAAATAATCTAGACGGAAGACTCTTTTGTCATTTTTTTATATATCATTTACTCAAACACCCATCCACCCAGCAACCCATCCATTCACCCATCCTCCCACCAACTTATTCGAACCACTCTCTCCCTCCCTCTGTATCACTCACTCACTCATCATACCACTTTGGACAGAAGTTTAAAGCTTTTTCAAGTGATGCATTTGGGTGAATGCAAGAAACATCACATATCATATGAGGGCCTGTCCACAGTGCAAATTACCGTTGATTAACCCTTTACTATGTGGTCCTGTACAAAGAGTTAGATTTGGTTTTGCGTAACAATTTGCGAGATGTATAAGGGCGTACGTACGAAAGATCGTACGTCCTTTCACGTCCTGCAACATGGGCGGTTCACCCATGTGTGAATCCCGCGTAAGAGACGTAGAGGCAAGTCACACTAAAGCGATTCTCACAAGAGCAACTCACACAGGGTAGACTCACTTCGCACTTACTATCTGCTTATAACAAAGCAACTCACTTGCAGAGGGTACTCACATAGCAAGAACTCAAATAGTGGCGACTCACACCGGGCTCTTACATAGCGGCGACTCACACATGACTCTCACATTGTGGCGAGTTACACAGAACACTCACACAGGGCACTCACATTGTGGCGGCTCACAGAATGCTTACTCATGGATATACGCATAGCGGCGACTCACAGAACACTCAAACATGACTCTCACATTGTGTCGAGTCACACAGAATACTCACATAGGGCACTCACATTGTGACGACTCACAGAACACTCACACATGACTCTCACATTGTTGCGAGTCACACAGAACACTCACATAGGGTACTCACATTGTGACGACTCTCAGAACACTCACACATGACTCTCACATTGTTACGACTCACAGAATACTCACACATGACTCTCACATTGTTACGACTCACAGAATACTCACACATGACTCTCACATTGTGGCGTCACATAGAACCCTTATTCATAACTCTCACATTGTGGCGAGTCACACAGAATACTCACACAAGGCACTCACATTGTGACGACTCACAGAACACTCACACATGACTCTCACATTGTGGCGTCTCACAGAACCCTTATTCATAACTCTCACATTGTGGCGAGTCACACAGAATACTTATATGGAACACTCACATTATGGCGTCTCACAAAACACTTACTCATGACTCTCACATTGTTACGACTCACAGAACAGTCACACATGACTCTCACATTGTGGCGACTCACAGAACACTAACACATGACTCTCACATTGTGGCGACTCACAGAACACTCACACATGACTCTCACATTGTGGCGACTCACAGAACACTCACACATGACTCTCACATTGTGGCGAGTCACACAGAATACTCACACAAGGCACTCACATTGTGGCGACTCACAGAACACTCACACATGACTCTCCCATTGTGGCGAGTCACACAGAACACTCACACAGTGCACTGACATTGTGACGACTCACAGAACACTCACACTCTCACATTGTTACGAGTCACACAAATGGCGATTCCAAAGACCACTCAGCGGGCACTCATATATCGGCGAGTCATACCAGTACGACTCGTTCAGGAGTGAAAAGCACAGCGACAACTCACTGGGTGTAGCCATCGCGTTCATGGACGTGTTTCAACAGATCAAATCGATACCATTCAGATACCCATTTAAACGTCTTAAGGTCTGGGCCAACAGATCACTTGACATTCTTCCTCCACTATTGCCATCATCCCTTATCTTGAAAATATTTTTGCATACCTATCAGTTGAAAATATGTTAGTGAGGGAAATTCCTCCTTATCTTCATCCAGATATTGATCGCGATATTAAATATGTACCGTTTGTTCCCAGAGTGTATACCGTGGGAACCAAAGGTTTAATTTCACATTCATGTGGAGCAAAATATTTCCTGCGATGTTTTCCACATAAAAGCACTTGTACTAGAAAAGAGCCGTAAAAAGTAGTATGAACCATTAAATGGCCTTCCGAGATATTGCTTGACAAAAGGGATAGAAATCCAGCAAACTGAACGATTCTGACTTTTTCTTGAGCGAATGTTTATGTACAACAATCAAATGACACCAGGTGTTCGCGAAAAGGGCACTGGTAAAACAACCAGCTTTACAAAATGTATCCAACAAATCGCCTCAGAAACCCATTGTTGTAGGTTCTGTTCGTATCGACACTACTTTTCATCAAAATGACAAACCAGTACAACATGGGATTCTTTAACCAGGCCATGTTCACCAATTTCGGGAGCACCGGGTGTCATCACTGATTTTTAGTGGTTCATGTCCATATGATTTTCACAGTTATTTTGTCCTTTTCACCAAATTCTATTTGTGAAGGGGACGGTGGAGTAGCCTAGTGGTTAAAGCGTTCACTCGTCACACTGAAGACCCGGGTTCTATTCCCTACTTGGGTACAATGTGTGAAGCCCATTTCTGGTGTCCCCCGGCGTGATATTGCTGGAATATTGCTAAAAGCGGCGTAAAACCATACTCACTCACTCTATTTGTGAAGGTAGTCAAAACTGGGTATTCCTTTCTACTGACATTACATTGTTTATGACATGTGATATAACTAAAATACTGAATGTTAAACACGGTTCAGTCACTTAAATATAGTTCCGGACTAAGCCTTCCAATATAGATTCATTCCAATCCTACAATAACATAACAAGGAGAGACAGGCAGTGAAGCAGTTTCCTTGTCGCCGACAGACCTAACGACCAATCCAATTGCTTCCTGGGTAGATACAGATATCAGATTTAATTCACACAGTTTACTGAACAGCATAGCTGCGACGCCAGACTCTTCTCTCATCCTCTTTAAACCAGGGCGCGTTCCGAGGCAAATCATTTGGACATCAAACCGGAAACAAGCGAAGGATGTCGTAAGTAGATTCCGTCTGTCTTTCGCTAATATAAGCGTCTTACCCATATTCACATCCACCTAAGTGCTGTGCCCCTCAAGGAGCGGATTACGTATATGAACGGATCATGATGGAGGCACCATTGACTTGCCTCCATCATCTTCCCAATAAGATGATTATCTTCAACTTCCGACATGAAGTAGTCGTGGCGGAGTCTCTAGGCTGTGACTGTTCTTGTTGCCTTACAAAATGGTATACTCGTTGCAGTTAACAAGCATTAGCATGAAGTCATAAATCTGAAGTTGGTGGGTGATCTGTCATTAACATGGGATCGGAAGGTACGGTATCTTAATATGTCGGATGAGAAATCTCGTCTAAAAGGCCGAGTCATGTGCTTATGTATCAGTAGTAAATCAGCTTTGTGTGACAATGACCCAAACATTTAACTTAAACCCACGCCAGAACAAAAGCCCAAACCCATTAAAACCAAAATCCTTGCTGACGTCCAGATATCCCCGATACTTCAGAAGTGAATTGATGTAAAAAGATGATGTATTCGAAATATGATGGCTTTTATCCGCTATCTAAAATTTAATCGGATTGGAAATTGTTTGCAAATATGTTTTTTAAAGCAGGATCGAGTTGTAATATGTTTTGCGAAAGGAGAATTAACATTAGATGACAGTGTATATAAGATGATACAAAACACAAAGATATCTAAATGGGGCCGCCTTCGTGGTGAAGCGGTTGGATCGATAGACCCTACCACGTCATATCAAAAGAAGGAGTAAAAGATGGTGCTTGTTGTTACACTGCCTGGAGTGGTTGGCTTGGAGACTAAGTTTGTGTCTGAGTTTGGTACTCATGTTAAACCCAGGCGTGGTAAGGTATCTGAGTAGGCATCAGACCGGACTGATAACGTTCAAACAAACAGACAGACAGGCACGAACGCACAATCTTGTACGCGACGCTAAACTCCATTTCACCTGACGTAACCATTACTGCTACCGTGCCACATGTCTCCTTGGCTTTGAGTTACTCTTGAGGGTGAGTTGGGTCAACAGTTATACAACAGCTTTAAGTGGGAGGAATCGCACGGTTGGACAGGTTTGGTCACTTGGACGAATAATTATCACTGGTCCGAATCCCTGGTTCTCCGCCACTGATTATACTGATTGTCTCTGAGGGCAAGGATCCTATTAGGCGAACCAACAAAGGAACTCTCTATGTACGCCTCAGGAGCACAAATACACAACTTTAACCATGCAGACACGACCTGTGCCCCAAAGTAACAAATGTGTCAAAAAGGATACGGCATAGGACATGAAGGGTGACCGTTGTAGGATGACAAGTGTCCCTCGCCGTGATTTTGTCTGGATTGTCGTTACAAGTGGCTTACAACTACACTCAACCTTATTCTTAAGCTTTCTCTCTCTCTTTCAGCAAATATACGTCGGTGAGTCAGTTCTGACTCGAATCCCATTGGGGATCATGCCAACTCTAAAACAACACTACATCTCCTTTTTGGTATGAGTGAGTGAGTATGAATTTACGCGTCTTTTATAAAAAAATAGGCTATATTCACACATGTACCGCAGTGGGGATTCGAACCCGGGTCTTCTGCGTGACGAGCGGACGCTTTAACCATTAAACTACCTCACCCCCTTTTGAGATGACACAACAACACGGTGTACCGACACAGTTTAATTGACATATGACATGCAACAACTATTGGCTATTTACATTATTGTACATTGCTTATTTGCATAGGGCCTCTGGCAGCCTAACTGCAGCGTTCACAATAACCACATACTGTCTATTGATAACGCATGCGCAGTCACACGTGTGTGTTCTCGGCCAATCAAAACCCGAATTTCGATTTGAAATATGTGTCGAAAGGCCAAAATTCAACGAGAAGTGGGGTCAGTTGAGAGCGTTTTTGATTGGCTGAGGTCACAGGAAGTGATGACTTCATATGTCATAAATATTATTCTATGTACAGGATATAAAGCAATATACACGTGGATGTATGTTTGTTAGCACGGTCCGCAGCGTGGGGAGACACGGTAACATATGAAAAAGGTATACATGCCAAATTTGATGTACAAGCAGCTCTGCCAAAGATCACTGGCCCACGGAAACCATTCCCATAGCGATTTCTGATGGAACATAAAATTACTTCAATCAAAGGCGTTTGATATTTCACGAAATCGTTCGTCAGTGGTGACGGGAATTATTTCCAGTTGCTTTGCACGAGTATCACATGTCCTATGTTGGAAGGGGTATCGTATCCAAGGACATGTCTTCAGTTGAATCCTTTAAGACCAAGACAGCTTAAATAACAGTGCAAATGGAGCTTCGGTGCATTAAACGTCATCACAACGATCAGCGTGAGAGATAAGCATTATCTCAACATGGAGTCTTGTTTCAGAGCGCACCACAAGTCAACGCACAGTTCGGGACATTCAACGTGTGCATGAACTCCCCTTCGTAAACACCTCTTTCAGCTCCTTTCGAAAGGCGACGTTCATGAACGCATAAATCACTGGATTGGCCACACTGTAGACAAAGTACATATAAAACACAACAATGTTGTATCCTATTAATCTATGAGCCATTAACCATGCAGGCAGAAAAGCTATTATAAACACCGTGGTGACAACAAACAACATGGCGGCTGTGCGAATGTTTGCAAGTCGGTTATAATCCTTTTTATCTCGACCGCTCGGACGCTTCCGATGATTAAGCTGTTGTTTTTCCTCGGGGTCGTCTTCAGCATTGACGCCATTTTTGTCCGTTTTGTGGAGTTCGACGGTTTCGACGTCGGTATGACACGTCGTCATTGACTTCATCGATGGTTTTAACGACTTTTGCCTCCAACGCCATTTCCGCCTTTGCGTCACGGAATAGTATATGAGACCATACAAAATGGACACAATCACAACGGATATAAGGAAAAACGAGGCGTACACCTTCTGGTAATTCATTAGAAAATCACGACTCAGGATGATCATATTTGGAGAACATTTCCCGGTATACACATATTCTGTTACTTCCGTTGTCGTAGAGTTGTCGTCACTTCCGGTGAATGCATCAGTTGTGACTTCCGATGTGTTGGTGATATTACTGGCACTGGTACTGACGACTCGAGGCTCTACAACCCCGTAAGCCAAAGATGTTATTGAGCCTAGGAGGAAGGCAAAGAGACTAAGGCACAGTATGGACATTCTTGCTCGGGCCGGGGTCATTGCGCGAACAAACGGATGGCAGATGCACAGGTAACGGTCAACGGCTATGGCCACCATTAGGAATGAAGACAGTGGAACATTGCAGGTGATGAAGAATTGATACAGTTTACAGCTGAAGTCGTATTTCAGCCAATCGTCCAAAAGAATATTGACAGCCGTGAATGGCATGATGACAAGCGATGTTACGAAATCGGCTCCAGCTAGCGCCAGGATGAAGATGGTGGATGTAACTTTGTCAACCTTCTTGGAGAGAAGACGTAGAGGACAAGACCATTTCCTATAGAGCCGAATACGGACAGCACCATGAGGATACAGATGACTGCATGCTTGGACACCTCCGATTCTCCTGTATCGGTGGTGTTGGTATCGGTTGATAGGTTTGACATGGTGACGGTAGTCCAAGGGAGAACTGAAAAGAAACAGAAAAATCATCATCATCATCATCATCATCATCATCAATAACAACAATAATAATAATATGGGAATTCCATATCAGAAAATTAAAATTTTAACAGCAATCGTTCCCTTACAATTTCCCTGAATCACAGGTGGTTCACCGGTTTCGTTTAACTCTTTGTCGTCTTTTGTCTTTTCGAATCCCAAATTCGTGCCAGTTTTGATCATTCAGCTTTCTGCAGTATATCTGTAAAGTGGCTTTCTCAGAGTAGTGCTCGTCAATGATAGTTTCATAATCTTACCAAATTAAACGTCTCATCAAAGAAATGAACAGTATTGAACGGAATTCCCCCACTAATTAGCTTTCAAAATAAAATATGTAAAGGTACATTGCGATTTGGTGTAAGTGTGTAGTTATCTTAATTATTTCATGTACAGATACCAAAATTAGCTTGCGATTTTCGTGTCAGTCAATCCGTACTTTATCTTTACAACTGAAACTCCCGGTCAGGTACGTATGTCTGACTTTAAGGCTTGAATATGAAAAGATCGTCAAACGCTTATATAGAGTATGTGTCACCGTTTCTAAATGCGGCATATATGTAACGAATAAACTAGCTGGGCGTTACTATCTATACCGGTCACCCAACTTAGGAACTTGCTAATGTTCTAGCTTATTTTGGTAATCCGAAAAAACTCAGTTTGCCTTAATGCACCGTAAGATGATTATCCTGGTATGGAAACCTTCAAAACCTGGAGAGTCTGTGATTGACCGAACGAGTATGGTTTAGCAATATTCCGGCGATATAACGACGCGGGACACCAGAAATGGGTTTCACATGTTGTACCAATATCGGATGACGAACGAACGTCTCTAACCTACCACTATTACGTCAATGACCTGGGGCGGTGGGGTAGCCTGATGGTTAAAGCGTTCACTCGTCACGCCGAAGACCCGGGTTCGATTCCCCACATGGGTACAATGTGTGAAGCTCATTTCTGGTGTCCCCTGCCGTGATATTGCTGGAATATTGCTAAAAGCGGCGTAAAACTAAACTCACTCACTCACTCACTACATCAGTGACCTCGGTTATAAAAACACATGCACACAACGCTGAGAGAAGTGCCATCTTGTATTGGCTCTGTATACACCAGAACGTGTGTGTAGAAATAATGTTGATATGCTAAAATTAGTTAGTTTGCAATCTATGGACAATGTACCACAGAGGGATCTCTCGATGAGGATATGTCGTTCACGAATGGAAGTAATAAAGGTCTCGGACGTTTACTATTTTGATGAAATTATGTGTGATAACAATTCTAAAAAAAAATTCAGCGCAAATAAGAGTTTCCCGCTACACAAAAGGGACGCAACTCTGCACAGACGCTTGAGGCCCCTAACATGATTGGGTCACGCGTGATCCCTATTCGTAAACAGACTCGGTGAAAAGAATGTTTAATCCACACAGCAATAATACTATGCTTATAACGAACACGCCTTCAACAAACTTACGGATACAACGAACTGTTTTGGGGTCTCGTTTTATCCCGGTCATTGGTGTGCCATAATTAGGTCAGAAAATGACCGCCGGGTAGCTGTGAGTGATAGGTAGGCAGGCGCGTAGCAAGCCAATTCTTTCGTGTAAACCCGATAGGTTGCAAAGCTTTACATATAGATAGTATAAACCTTTTTAGCAACACTCATGTGTAAGCCCGGGCTTTTTTTCTAATGGTAGCTACGCCCCTGGTAGGGGTCAAGTTAAAATGCTTGATGCCCCCACTCTACAAAATGATAGGGGATCAAATTTCACAGGGAACATTTTCAGTGGTCACAGGTAATGTAGGGGGAGTAACTCTCGTCGTCTGCTTAATGTAAACAAGGTCAACTTCTCAAAATGGGGAAAAGAAGGAAAAGCTTTCTTGAGATGAGTCTAGCTGGATTTAAACAGGCTGACATTGCAGATGCAGTCAAGAGGGGTCAAAGCACCATTTCCAAGTTTTTATAGAGAGCTGAAATGGAGAATAATGAAGAGAAAATGCCCAGACGTGGTAGGCCCCCGGTTTTGACAGGAACACTTTGAGAACTGTCAAAAACAACAGGAGATCACTTGGGGATATTACAAGTATTGTGAATGAGGCATTACCAACTAAAGTAAGTCAGAGGATGTTTCCCTATAGGACTGTTCAAAGACATTTCCACAAGCTGAATTACAGGAAAGGATTAGTGAGGAAGACATTCACAGTAAGTTTAGTATATTTAGGGGAACGGGAGGAACTTTTATCAACATGTCCATTGGAAAACTCAAGGTAATTGATCTATTTAGTGATATTTAGTTATGATAGTCTGTTTGGAGAACGCCTGGTGAGGAGTACATCGTGATGGCAGCAGTTACCCTGATTTTCAGCAAAGGGAAGGACTATCTGCGATGATTTGTGAGTGCACTCCATACCATGGAGCTGGTACACTGGTCCAAGTTCATGGTAATATCAACTGTGAGAGGTATGTGTCTATTTTGGACGACATTCTGTTTCCTGTCATTTTCAAACACTTCACAAAGACAATGCTGCATTGCATAAGTCTCGTGTTACAATAAAAGATTGGAAAACTACGAATGAAATCAAATGTTTATCATGGCCATTACAATCGCCAGACTGGAACATGATGGAAAAATATGTATTTGCTGATCACAATCAGGCTACAGAGAGTTTCACACACCTTCAAATCAAAGGAGGAACTTTTTCAGCAGATTCTCAGGATATGGCACACAATACCTCTGCATCATATCCAGGCACTACACTCATCTATTCCAAGAAGAATAACAGCTGTGAGGAAAAATAAAGCTCACACCACAAAGTGTTAGGCATCCACAGTTTATTTTCGGGGGTAAGTGAGCTTTAATTTCTACTTTTCTGTACCCTCTGTACGTTTTGCCCCCAGATATGGCGGTCATTTTGTGAGATAATTATGGCAAAGCACTGTATGTTTGAGTCAAAATGCATATAACGAACTGCGATTATAACGAACTAAAATACGTATTCCACCTGAGTTGGTTATTAACGTACTTAACTGTATAAGTTATGGAAAGTCGGATGCTCACTGCACCGAAGTAATCGCTTAAGATAAACGTGTTGAAAGTAGACCATAGACCATAGAATTGTAAATTAATTGTGTGCCATCCAAAACGGTACAAATCAAAAGAAGTGGTATTATCTTTATTACACGTGTATATATCCAACAATCCCCAAATCCCATAAAATCCAAAAATAAAACGTTTATAATTTAATTATCATGATAACTTTCCCAAGCCCATTACCCTTTGAAACTGATGGCTGCATGCTTGCAGGAAGCATGGCCGAGCTGATATTATCAACTCTGTGCACTCGCATGTGCTACAAGTGAATATCTAACCATATCGACTCATTATGGCTTAGGAGAGATTACAAAACCCGACCAGAATACTTCAAACCTATGATCGTGCTACCACTTTTCTAAAGACATAAGTTGCTTATGGAGATGGCGCACAGTGCCAACAATTTGTCATGAACGCTTCATATAGATATAGATAAATATAGGTTCGGTCAAGGATGGTGTCTCGTTTCCATGGTGACTAGCTGATGAAGGGCGTAAGTGAGTAGTGGAGAAACAACGAAGACGAAATAGCGACAACACACACTTGCATCCCTCTGTGTCTGGATGGTGGCACCCATGTGTTTCAGACTCGCAAGGCCTCAACCCAGACTTGTCGCTGATAACAATTACACTTATATCTAGAGGTATTAAATCACGAATTCTGTCAAGTCCTGTTAGCTGGGTCACAGGAGTTGTCACTTTCAATAACCACTTTCTGGCGTACTGTTGTGGATGTTGTACTATCCCATGGCATGGACGAGAGTTCTGCGTAGTTTAGAGTGAGTTTAGTTTTACGCCGCTTTTAGCAATATTCCAGCAATATCATGTCGGGGGGACACCAGAAATGGGCTTCATCCATTGTACCCACGTGGGGAATCGAACCAGGTTTCAGACAAATACATGTTGATAAGATATTGTTGGAATATTGCTAAAAGCGGCGTAAAACTAAACTCAGTCAGTCACCATGCCAACGCCCACTATCCGTGTAAAGTGAAACCTATTTAACCCGGACCCTGTTATTCTGAGCATGGGGAACCTCATTCGGAATATGTGTTATACTTATATTTATACTTATATACTAATATAAAGAATCATCACCTGTCACTGGTCACTGGTGACGAGGGGCGGTGGTTAAAGCGTTGGCTCGTCACGCCGAAGACCCGGGTTCGAATCCCCACATGGGTACACTTTGTGAAGCCCATTTCTGGTGTCCCCCGCCGTGATGTTGCTGGAATATTGCTAAAAGCGGCGTAAAACCAAATTCAGTCAGTCACTGGTGACGAGATCGGGTGGTCAGGCTCGCTGACTTGGATCGTATTCTAATTACGTAGATCGATGCTCATGCTGTTGATCAGTGGGATGTCTGGTGCAGACTCGATTATATATAGACCGCCGCCCTATAGCTGGAATATTGCTGAATGCGACGTTAAACAACAAACAAACAAACAAACCTGTCACTGATTCCCCAAACACGTTGATACGTTCGTGTTTTAACATATACCTGTATGATCATTGATCACTGAGTAAAGGCGAGTCATGGACACCTGCATTGGATATCGTCGTCGAATGAAGTCATCTTTCCGCATAAGTTTCTTATGGTTACGGAGAGAACTTTTTTCCATTTAATTTACAGTTGCGATTTTATTCGCGTTGGCAAAAAAAATAATCTCAGGGTTTCATTATACGATGTGTGCCGTGGTTTATTAAAAATGACTTTGTTTAAAAAAAATATCCAACTCACCAAACCTCCAGATGATGTTTTTAGTAATCAAACCTGATACTGGCAACATTAATTAAATATTGACAGAATACATGCGTCAGAATAAAATAAAGTCTGTGTAATTTCCTACAGAGGTTTACTTAATTTCCTTCAAAACTCACCT